TCAGCCCAAAATCTCCTGAAACTGATAAGCAACTTCAGCAAAGCCTCAGGATACAAAATCAATGTGCAAAAATCACATGCATTCCTATACACCAATAACAGACTTAAAGAGAGCCAAATCAAGAAACTGTTCTGGCCAGAGACAGTGGAATGACAAACGTCTCCTCTTTAGAAAGGCCTCACTGGCCCTCCTAGGTAAATCCCCAGATGCTCCCCTCCACCCACTGTATCACACTCTGTGTTCTTACCTTGCTTTCATTATTCGCTTGCTTGTGGTATGTCTCCCCTCTAAAATGTAACCTACGAGAGGGTAGGAGCTTTGTCTTGTCACTGCTTTACAAGACAAAGCAGTGACACTTTACAAGTGCCAAGAACAGTTCTTGGTATTTAGTAGGTGCTCAATAAATAACTGACAAAGTAAGTAATGCCTTCAGGCAGAAAAATATGAAGGCAGAGAGCAGTAAAGCATCCTTGAACTTCTAATGGTTCAGCACAATGAGAGCCCAAGATGTGTAGTAGCAAGTGGGAGGAGATAAACATGGAGTGTTGACAGATGTCAGGCCGTAGAGCAATTTGTAGGACATGCTGTGGGACTTGGGCTTCGTTCTGTAGGCAGGAATTTTAGGCAGAGGAGTGTTAATATTCTATTTGCACTTTAGAAAAACAGCTCCTTGTGTCGGATGAATTAGAGGAGTGAGTTTGAGAGCAGGGGAAAGGCTAGAGATGGTACAGACCTGTGGAGAATTGAAGCAGAGGGGATGGGCCAGGTCTAGAAATCGTTTTAGTAGGTGGAGTGTGCAGGCGTTAGTGACCAGCTGGTTGTAAGGGATGAAGGGGCAAGTTTTGACTTGTGTTATTGGGTAGATAAGGAATACAGAAAGCAAAGGAGATTTTAGAAAAAAATATGGTATATTTATTATCTATTGCTGTGTAGCAAATTACCCCAAATCTTAGCAGCTTAAAACAACAAATATTCATTATCTCACAGTATACATGGGTCAGAATTTAGGCTTAGCTGACTTCTTCTGGCTCAAAGTCTCTCGCAAGGCTGCAGCCGACGGGTTGGCCAGGGCTGCAGCTATCTCAGGACTTAAATGGGGAGAGCTCCTCCTCCAAGCTCACTCTTGTGGCTATTGGCAGGTCTCAGCTACTGCAACTGTGGGCTAGAGAAATGAGTTCCTTGCCACCTGGGCCTCTCTTTGGGACAGCTCACAATGATATGGCCGGTGGCCTCCCTCCGAGTGAGTGAGCAAGAGAGTGAGAGAAAGCACCCCAAGACAGAAGCCACAGTCTTTTTATAACCCAATATTAGAGGTGCCATTTCATCATTTCTGCCCTATTCTGTGAGAAACAAGTCACTAGGTGAGGTCACACCCCATTGTGTGTGAGGGGGGATTACACAAAGGCTATGAATGTCAGGAGGTAGGGATTATTAGGAACGTCTTAGAGACAATGGGCCGCAGAGTGCATTTGGATACAGCGAATTTGTGGACTCTAGGACCTCCCAGTTGGGGATACTCTGGATACAGATGGAAGTGTAGATGTGGGGCTCAGGAACTAACCTCTCTTGTTGGGATGTAGTTTGGAGCCTTTGCATGAATTTATAATTAATGGCTCAGGAATCTCCCCAACTTGATTTGAAGCTTCTAGAGGTCAGGAATGAAGGACAGATATCTTTAAATCCCCAAGGAAGCCCCTCAGGTAGGAGGTGCTCAGCACATAATTGCTGATTGAATTACTTGGGGAGGCAGAATGTCACATGGTTGAAAACTCCCTCCATTTAACAATTCCTGCTCTGTTAGAGGGACTTGGAAAGAGGCTTTCCCCTTTCTAAGCTGCATGTTCCTTGTCTGCACAAAGCAGGTTTTCAAAAAAAAAAAAAAAAAAAAAGGTAAAGCTTTTTCCCTGGGAACCCCATATATCATATAGGTAAAAGGTAAAATTTGGTCTGAAAATTTGGTCTAAAAAGAACCCCATTTTGAAAACCACTGGACAAAGTAAATTCCTGATTTTCTGCCAACTGGGACATTCTGTGATTTTATGACAAGATCAACTCTACATATCTCCCAGTTCTGTGATTCTGTTTATTCAGATCCATTGATGCTACATATTTTATTGAACTTTTGAAAAGAAAATCATGCATATTTCCTTGAACTTATGAAAAAATGTGTCATATCTGGCTTTCATTAAGCACTTTGTATGTGTCAAGCATTGTGCAAAAAAATGTATATTGCATTATCTTTATTTGATCTTATCTCCCCTACTGGAGTGTAAGGCTTTGTCTAGTTCACTGTATTTCTAGCAGCTAGGATAGTTCTTGGGACATAGAAAGCATTCAATAAGTGTTTTCTGGGCCAGGCACTGTGGCTCATACCTGTAATCCCAGCACTCTGGGAGGACAAGGCAGATGGATCACCTAAGGTCAGGAGTTCGAGACTAGCCTGGCCAACATGGTTGACCCCTAACCTGGGAGGTGGGGGTTGCAGTGAGCAGAGATGGCAGCATTGCACTCCAGCCTGGGCAGCAAGAGAGAAACTCTGTCTCAAAAAAAATAATAATTAATTAAAGGTTGTTACCATTATCAACAACCCTGACAGATAGCTATTGTTATCTTCATTTTCCAGATGAGATCACTGAGGCTCAGAGTGGCTAAGCACCTTCCCTAGAGTCATCTAGCTAGTGTAAGGGACCGAGCTGGGGTTGGAGCCTAGGTCTTTCTGACTCCAAAGCATTCCTGTCCAAGACCCAGCATATTCAAAACCATGCACCCAAATTTAGGTTCTGGAAAATCTCATGCCACTGGTGAGTGCAAACCAATAGGGCTGACAAGGCTTTACTGCCCCAGCTCCCAGCATTCCCAGCTTTACATTCACAAAACCACTGGGCATTGAGCTGGGAAGAGTCCACCAGGCTGAGAAAGTACAAAATATACCGAAAAGTAAGAGTTGATGACTAAGGATGATAAGCATCGTCACCACAGCCTGCCATTCTCTGTCGCCTCATCAACATCACATGTCTCCAACCAGGTCTGAAGTTAGACTGATGATGTCACCAGAGTCTCTAAAAGGCCTCATCACTCACTTCCACTTGTCATGTATTATTAAGCAGATCTATAATACATGTAACATTTTCTACTGAATTTCCATTTCTTTCTTTTCATGACCCAGGAAAGAAAAATAGAGTGAGGATGACTTTTCCCAACTTTTCATCCTTATTGCCCTTCATTGAAAAATAACTTCATCTTGAATTACCCCCCAAAAATGGTCATTCAGGCTCTAATTTCGTTAATAAGGATGGAGCTACAGTTTAATAATTATCATTTAACCTATGCATATTCTATATAGACAAGTAAATGGATTTCCCTCATCTTTCCTCCTTGAATCCACAGAAGAGGGGAGTCTACAACCCTTTTTCTTTTTTCTCTTTATTCTCCACATTATTTTTTGAGACTTTGGGGTTCTATTAATTATGTTAGAAACTTTCTGCATTATCACTTCTGTAGCGATAACGAGAGTCCTCTGGAGAATTGGAAGTCTTTGTCGTCTGAATCAGAATTTCATTAGGGGCAGCAATCTCAAGGATGAGCAAAAGTTATCCAGATGAAGAGTTGTTTTAGGCAGAGAGAACAAGTTGCTCACGAGTGGCTGGCCCGGATTGTCGGGTCTGTAAGGAATGGAAAGAAGCCAGAGTGGCTGGAAGACAAAGCCTTACCCAAGGCAGCATCCTGGATTTGAGAGCAGGCGTGAAGCAAATGGTGTTGAAGACCTCCAACTATGCTGGGCGGTCACACAGGGCCCCTGCGCTTAGAAGGGCTCTGAGCTTGATTTAATGTGCCTATCGTGAAACTCTTCATCCTTTTTGAAGAAAGGGCCCCACATTTTCATGTTGCACTAGGTCACACAAACCGTGTAGTCAGTCCTGCTTGGGTGGAAAAGCCAGCTCTGTCATTTACTAACTAGCGAGGCAGTCTCTGGGAAATCCATTGGCCTTCCTGAGATTCAGTTTCTGCTTCTGTAAAGTGGAGTGCATAATCCCTCCTTCAAATATGCTGTCATGAGGATTCAATGAGACTATGAATAATCAGGGCTTTGTATAGTAATAGGTGCCTAGTAGGTGCCTAATCAGTATTACCTTCTTCTTAACTAAGAGGGTATATCTGAATCACCTTGGGAATTTGCTTTTTTCAAAATACATTCACCTGGGTTCTGCTCTGAGCACTTCTGACTCTGTAGGGATGTGGTGGGGTTGTGTGTATTTGTTTTTTGAGACAGAATCTCATTCTGTCACCGAGGCTGAAGTGCAATGGCGCCATCTTGGCTCACTGCAAACTCCGCCTTCTGGGTTCAAGCAATTCTGCTGCTTCAGCCTTCCAAGCAGCTGGGATTACAGGCAGGCACCACCATGCCCAGCTCATTTTTGTGTTTTTGGTAGACACAGAGTTTCGCCATGTTGGCCAGGCTGGTCTTGAACTCCTGACTTCAGGTTATCTGTTCGCCTCAGCCTCCCAAAGCGCTGGAATTACAGATGTGAGCCACCGTGCCCGGCCAACGTGGTGGTTTTGAAAGGGTTCCTTGTATGACACCGATGTACACCTCAGGTTCGCAAAAGCAGCCTTAGGTTCTCAGAGAGCTAGCTAAGAAGCCACTTAGTAAAGGATAGCAGAAGAAAAGGCAGAGGGAGAAATCGATGGACTACTGCTCATCCTCAACATAATAATAAACCTGCTAAAGAGGAAAGAGGTCATCAACTTCACAGCCCTTCAGACGACAAAGATGGTGCTGAAATGCACTGTGGGAATTCATCCCATTATCAAGGTCCCCATAAAATTTCCTGCTGTCCATTTGGTCTGACAAGTACACCCAGAGGAAGAGGGGCTGTGGACAAGAGAAAACAGGGTCAAGGCCAAGGTTGGGGACTGAGTTTGAATTTATTTTCAACGTAATGACCCTAATACCGTACTCAATAGAGAGAGTAATTCTGAATTGTGTTTATCCTGCCCAGATTTTAGGCTTCGACATTCTTCTAATGAAAAATCTGAAGCCTATACTGCTTGAAGTAAATGCAAATCCCAGTATGAGGATCGAACATGAGCATGAAGTAAGTATGTTGAGCATTTCATTGACTATGTTGCCATACAGCTGAATATTCCTACCCTCATGCTGCTCACTTAACAGAACAAGACTGAACATTCTCAAGTTGTCATAGCCAAATTGTGCTCAAGTCAAATAATTTCAGTTTTGTTGGGCTCTGAACATAGACTATTAATAACAAGACCTATCTGACCTACGGTAACTTCCCAGCATGCCATTTTTCTAATTTTTAAGGTCTGGAAACTTAGAAGCAGCTGAGCCTCCCCGTCAGTTTTGACACGAACTAATTAGTTAACCTCAGGAGATGAACTAATTGAAATTCTGTGAGTACGATTTAGTCATGCTGACATACTTGAATCACTAAGATAAATAGTACATTTGACAGTGGTTCTATATTTCTCCCCTCCCCCAAAACATGCATTTTTAAAAAACTGGAAGGAAATACAACAGATATCAATATTGGGTTTAGGGGAGACTATTTGGATTATTTTAGTTTTCTTTTTTTTTTTTTTTTTTTGAGACGGAGTTTCGCTCTTGTTGCCCAGGCTGGAGTGCAATGGCGCGATCTCGGCTCACCGCAACCTCCGCCTCCTGGGTTCAGGCAATTCTCCTGCCTCAGCCTCCTGAGTAGCTGGGATTACAGGCACGTGCCACCATGCCCAGCTAATTTTTTGTATTTTTAGTAGAGACGGGGTTTCACCATGCTGACCAGGATGGTCTCGATCTCCTGACCTCGTGATCCACCCGCCTCGGCCTCCCACAGTGCTGGGATTACAGGCTTGAGCCACCGCGCCCGGCCTTATTTTAGTTTTCTTAACCCCTTTCTATATTTCTTAATTTTCTCCAGTGAGCACGTATCATTTTGATAATTAGAAAAACATAGTGCTATTTTTTCTCTTCATATATTTGGTTAATTTATAAAAGGAAATTGATCTTCTTAAAGTAGTATAAAGGAAGCCTTTAAAATTTTTCTTCTATAGATTAGGATAAGCAAAATTGAATCGTATAACCCCTGGAGCTAGCTGGAGGATTGGATGCTGATAGCCACTTGGCACTGAATCACGGTCTCCACTGTGACACAGAATCCTTACCCATTCAAGCTTTCTCCAGGGGTGTTTGAAAATGTCCCCAGCCTCGTTGATGAAGAAGTGAAAGTGGCTGTGATCAGAGACACTCTGCGCCTCATGGACCCACTCAAGAAGAAAAGGGAGAACCAGTAAGTGCTTTTTTCTGTCGTTCCTTTCTATCAGCTCTGCTTCCTAACTCTGCTTCATATCCTAAGCAGGTAAGTTCTTGGAACCTCTTACCATTGTGAGTGAGATTTACATCTTAAACAATTCTAACAAAATATCTTCATTTTATAAATATCAGCCCCCAAACAACCAGTGACTCAAATCGGGAGTAACTGACAAATGGGCTTCCGCTGATGACTTTCTATTATCTAAATCTGGAATGTCTCTTTTAAGAAGCCATGCTCCCTCAAGGATAGGCCTCCCACTTGCCTGCTATTGTTCACATAGTGCTTCTCTTTGAAATCCTCAAGCACAGGAAGAGCACAATAAAATGCAGGAGAAGAGGGCCACAGGTAACTAGGACATGGTAAGAGTTCCTTCCTTTTTATTTTCTTCATGTTTACACTCTTGCAGTATAAACTTTTCATTTCAAAATTGGCAGACCCCATTTAATGACAGTTCTATGATATTTACAACAGTTATAATTCTGCTTCGTCACCACCCACTCAGTGGCACATTACATTGCCTTGTTGGTGGATGTATGTGCCCCGCCCTCCCTCCGTGGAATCACCCCAGAAATGAATGATATTTCACTTGGGTATGCTGTTTGTTTTGTTTTTACCGAATTCCAGGCTCTCACAAAGTAAGGGTTGAGTACATATCATTGTGTCAGAGTTTCAGGAAGAAAAATCAAAGACAGGCATCTCAATAGCACTTCTCGTACCTCTAGACAAACCAGATTGACCCTAATGTGCGCAGACAAGTAGAGCACTTGTCAGTGATTGTTCAAGACTGGGAGGAATGCAGACTTCACCAAGCGAGTGGTGTTTTGTAGGTTCGTCTGCCAAGGCTTCTCATCACCTGGGCTCAGTCCCAAATATCACCCTATGGTAGTGCTTCTCATACTCGGCTGCACGTTAGAACCCTCTGGGCAGCTTTCAAAAATGCCAGTGGTAGAGTTCCCACTTCTAGAGGTGCTCTGCGTTGCAGGCCTGGCCACAGAAAGTTTCCCGGTTCCCTAGGTGATTCTACTGTGCAGCCAACGTTGAGTGCCACTGCCCTGCGGGAAATATTACCCTGAAGAAGTACTGGTCATGCTCTGAGTCAGTCTGGATGGTGCCTGCCCGGCTGAGCTCTCTCAAGAGTGTTCTTGACTCTGTGAGGCACAGATTGCCGTTGTTGGCAAGGCTCAGCTGAGAATGTTTACCTGTAGTTTGTAAGGGCCAATCCCACCAGGTGTGGCCTCCACTGGTGAGTGCTTCAAAGCCGCCCTCTGAGCAGCCTAGACCCGATGGCAGGCAAAGAATGTGTTTGCCAGTACATATGTATCTGTAGCTGCTTTCTTTAGCCATCTCGAAGGAAAAGCAGTGGATTAGTTGCCGTTTGGTCAGAATTACTGCAATAAAACTCATTCCTCAAAAATCTATTCTTTAATAGTTATTGGTCTCGCCAGCAGAGACTAGGTTCTGAGAAACCATATGGTACTGTCAGGAGATTTGGTAGCGGTGTGTGCCAGTACGGCATGGCAGTACAGTGTTTTTAGGATGGCCTTGACATATCGGCATTCTTAGTCCTTTGGTGGGAACAAGAAATTCAAGAGCCATTGTATGGCCTGAGTCTTTTTAAGCTCTGCCACCTAAACGTGAGGGGATAGAGGGTTCTACTGTATTTTCATTAAATGACATTGAAACAAAATTAGTTTTATTTTTTTTTTGTTCTAGTTGCTTTTCTTTATCTATACCTATATAATCCATAGGAGCTGCATTCTGTGTGATCTGTATGAGCTACAGGCCTAGAATTTAATAATAATGGAACATAAGACCATTGGGAAGGATGGGAAAGGCATTTTACAACTTATCAAGTCATAAATAGCAGCACCTCATTTTTAATTTAAAAAGCATTGACTTTATTGATAACCAGGAATAGTGAGAAGTTGGAACCTGACTTTTATTCTACTATAAAACCATTTCATCTCATCCTCTTCTTACCTACAATGTAAAGGTATATGATAATAGCTCAATGCCATTTACTGATACTTTTTCTTAATTTCACCTTTTTAAAAAAAAAAACTCAGCAAGGATTATCCATGAAAGTACTTTGTAATGCATAAAGTGTGTTTATATATAAGGGATTACGATCATTTTGATAAATTTACCATGCAGAGGAAAAGGCTGAAATTATTCTCACCTCCTTTTTGTAGTAATGTTTCCAAATAAGTTGAAAACTTACCCAATTTATGCTGCACAGTGTTGTAGTGCTGAATCCTGTGTCTAAATCTGAGACTCTGCCACTCCAACTGCGTAAAATGGTGTCAGGTAGACTTCCAGGCTAGAAGGTACCTTTAGAAGCCAGGGTTTCTAGCATTTGCACAGAATCTGACCTATTTAAAAAAAAAAAACAAAAAACAAATGGAATCCCAGCCTTTCCCTTCAACTCTTTAGCAAGAGAGGGTCTGAAGTGTCTGCCCAACATTAGTTATTTCTTGAGAACAGTTTGTCAGCAAGACTGCTGAAGTGGATCTTTACTTCCCCGCACAGACTGAAGAAAAAAAGTAGATGCCCTGAACTCCTCATCTCCCCAGACTGCTCTGGACGGATGCAGAGGAGACATCAGAAGGGGCCCCAGACCTGTGTCCATGCATCGTGCATCTTTGCCACCTCTGAGTCTTGTAGCCTGGGGTCAGTTTCTTGGGGGACTGATAGTAGTCCTCAGGGGGATGAACTCGATGCTGCTACACCCACCTTGGCATAGTTGAGAGTGCCTTCTCTGGAGCTGAAGAGCCTGAGATTCCAATCCTGACTCTCTCACCAACTGGTGTGAGTCCTTGGAGGTGCTGCATGGCTGTTTTGAGCCTCAGTATCTTTTTCTGTAAAATGGGGATAATGATGTTCAAATAAACAATGAGAGGCCAGGCGCGGTGGCTCACACCTGTAATCCCAACTCTTTGGGAGGCTGAGGCGGGCAGATTACTTGAGGTTAGGAGTTCAAGACCAGCCTGGCCAACATGGTGAAACCCATCTATACTAAAAATGCAAACATTAGCTGGGTGTGGTAGTGCATGCCTGTAATCCCAGCTACTTGGGAGGCTGAGGCACAAGAATCACTTGAACCCGGGAGGTGGAGATTGCATGAGCCAACATTGTGCCACTGTACTCCAGCCTGGATGACAGAGTAAGACTGTGTCTCAAAAAATAAATAAAAATAAAAATAAATGAGAAAAACTTTTAATGTATAGTAGGCACTTGATAATGCTGAGTTTACTACTCAACAGTGAAGTATCTACTGGACATGAAAGACAAAGCAGTGCTTAGTTGTTATTCTCTTTCCTGGTATACTTAAAATAGATTTTTAAAGTTTAAAACCAATAGTGTATCCTAAAAATGAAGCTGCTTGATTACTGTGGACTAGAATCGACATTGGAGCTGGTTACCAATGGAAGGTTCTGTTTCCAGGTAGCGAGATGTCACTGGCTTATATTTATTTCATGTGTTAGGAGAAATTACCTTTGGCTTCTGAAGGAGGAAAACATCTGTCATATGTGAACTATTTTGGCAAAGGTAGTGTTTTGTAATATGTAGTGACTCAATTGACTTTCTTACTAGGGTTTTGTGGAGGCTCTTTAGTGACATGGTAAGGAGGAGGCTTATGGGGTGGGATTCTGGAAACATTACATAAATGGAGGTAAAATTCACGTATGATAGAATGAACCATTTAAAAGCTTACAATTCAGTGGCATTTAGTACGTTCACAAAGTTGTGCAACCATCACCGCTAGCTAGCTCCACAACGTTCTGCCACTCAAAAAGGAAACCATCAAGCAATCACTCTCCATCCCCAACCCCCTCCACCCCAAGTCCCCGGCAACCACCAGTCTGCTTTCTGTCTCTGTGGGTTTAGCTATTCTGGATATTTCATCTAAATAGAATCATACCATATGCAGTCTTTTGTGATTGGCTTCTTTCACTTACTATAATATTTTCGAAGTTCACCCTTGTTGTGGCATGTGTCAGTATTTGATTCCTTTTTACAGCTGAGTAATATTCCATAAGATGATAGACCACATTTAGTATTTGTTTGTCAGTTGATGGGCATTTGGGTGGATGCCATCTCTTTTTCAACCAGAGGAATGCTACAATTATCTATTTCATATGTTGGCACTCTACATTAGATTTATTAGATTTCTTTTGAAGAGAAGGGACTAAAGAAGTTTTCTATGAGAAGTTCTTCCTGCTATGAGAAGTTTTTAGAACCCCTGTTTTCATCCAGCCTCCTCATTTATTGCTAAAAGCACATACCTTAGAACTCATCATTCTGGTCAGTGCCCTGGTTCAAGAATCTCCCTCTGAAGTATCACTGATAGAGGAGCAGCATGTGTCCTGGCAGGACTCCAGACTTGGTGTCAGTCAGGCCTGGGATCATGTCCTTCATCTCTGATCATTGCACTGTGAGCTTGGTGGTCAAGTCACTTTGGTCTGATCATGTTTGTAAAATGGGAATCAAGGTACTTCCTTGGCTGGATTGTCATGGTCATGATATGAAATGACACCTATGAGAGAGCCCCATGGAATCCGAGAGCATTAGACAACAGCTAGTTCTTAGGGTCACCAGGTCATCAATCAGGCTTTCCTTTAAAATCATGCTGATGGTGACAAAAAAGTCACCAGCTTTTGAGGCAAGATGATTGAGTTGTGGATACAATGGTTCTGGCCCCCTGGGTCATACATGGGGAAGCTACGCTGGAGGGAGGTAAGACACTTGCCCCAAGTCCCAAAACTAGTGAGAGGCAGACTTGAACTGGGCCCTGGGCCTGACTTCTACAACCGTGTTCACTGGCCATGAGGCTGCTTTGGGCTCCAGTTTCCACTTTCAATTCAAAGCTTAGCTTTGAAGATAACAACAACAACAACAACAAAATAATAATAAGAAGAATCAATGGAAAATTTCTCCTTTTACTAAAGGTATTTGGGCAGCCTAAGTCTTTCTTT